CGACTTATATATATACATATAGAAAGAGAGAAATTTTTAAAAATTACCAGCATAAAGTAAAATGTTTCGCTATTGTTAATAATTTAATGTTTAAAAAAAATCCTGTGTTTGATTAACACGAAGGCATGATGCTAAAACATACACAAATTATGTATATATAGCACACTGGGGTATATTTTCGGTAAAATCTGGCTCCTATCCATTGTAAATAAAGCATTTATTAAATAATATTTTAGTTTTTACGTTTAAATAATTGTGAAAAAAATTATCATTAAATAATTTTCTTCAAAGTTACTACTTTATTAAATACTTACTGACAAATATTTATATATATTTTTAAATTTTGTAATTAAGATCTTATCAAATTCATGTAAGAATAAAAGTAATATCTACAATATTTATGACAATTTTCGAATAGTAAAAGATGTTTAATTATTAATAAGAACACGTCTTTCAAAATCCAAAACTAAAAAATATTTTCAGATAAACGAGATATTTTGCTCTAATATGTCTATTAATAGACGAGATATCTCATAATAATTGGTTTGAGATAAGAAAATTGAAATTTTATACATTTGTTTTATGCATTTATTCAATTAAAATCCTGTAAGTTCAGTTACATGAATTTTTATTGTAAATTCTATAGTGTTAATGTCAATTTATCTGAAGTTTATATAAAATAATAAATTAAATTAAAATTAATAAATGAAGTATGTAAAATATATTTTATTTCTTATAAAAGTTTAAAAAAAGAAGCGATTATTTTTATCTCTATTCTGATATTATACAAATCTTGATGAAAATAATTTGAAGAATAAGTATAAATCATTGCAATTTTAATAATAATTACTATAATAATTGCAACATTACACCGAAAACTTAGAAAAACTACAAATATACAGAACTGTAAATGGTAATATAATAAATATGGCTTATACAACACATCAATATGATACCAATAATTTTGTTTTTAGTATTAATATATTAATCTGTCTCACAGTTTCACATGACTCTTCAGAAGACATCATTCTTAGAACATTTCTTAATATTCAATAGTATTGGTTTCTAGATTTGTACTTAGTCAAAGGCATGATAATACTAGTTACTATGTAATGTATTAAAATAATATAGTAATAATAAATTTTACTATACTTAACTTTGTTACTGGGGGAGTATCAGACTTATCTAATATCATTTATCATACGACAAAAATATAAAAATATAAATTTGCATACATCATGAAAAAAATTACTGTATATAATTAGATATTCTTATACATAGTATTTGATATTATGTGCGATTTATATTCGAAATAATAAAAGATTTTCACTTTTATTCTTAAAGAATTCTTATATAGATCTATATAAAATCCTATAGAACTGGGTGTATTCAGTATTTTAAGACTGGTTGCTGCTCGAGGCAGATTTAGGGAACTCAATCACCTTAGAATACCTAAATCTTACCTAACTGAAGTCGTGTTATTATATTTATTTTTATTTTAAAGTAACAAAACTGATTGCTTTGTTATGAAGAGGGTACTGCGACACTATAAACAAACCCTTTGGATACGGTTCTGAAATTCAGTTAATTTGGTCTTCTATAAAACCTTTGTTATATCAATTTATTTCTACTTATATTTCTATAAATATAATTTAACAGAAATTAAAAACAAAAATGTTTTAGTTATAATTAAAAATTAAAAATGTATAGTCTATATTGTACATAATTTTATTATTACTAATGACTTGTATTTCAGTTAGAAAATTTACTTATAAATTATTATTTATTTTATTTTTTACGCCAATAATTCAATTTACATTCTTATTTTAGATAATTTTGGAATTTTATGTAATCTGTATAATGTGATAAAGTTACACACATATATTTATTTAATATAGACTTATATTATTCTTCAAGTTTGAGAATTTATTAAGTTATTTTTTAATTATTTAATAATTAAATAAAAAGATGAATATATCTGCTAATTAAAGAATTGTTCATTTTCTCTATTAAAATTTTATTTGTATCATTAAATCTATTTTTAATTTAAGAAACATTTATCACGAAATTATATAAATAAAGTTATTACATTTATCAAGTGAAATGATTTGATTGCATTATTGAAATATTGAAAGACAACTGTTCAAGATACTAAGAATTGGATTTACTTTCGTTTTGGATTGAATGCAAAACGAAACTAGATTCAATCCGAAGCTTCAGTATTATGTTTATAAAAGTTTCTTGGTTTATTTATATATAATATTTTTATATTGAATTTATTAAATTACACTCTAATACACCATAAACTATAATATATATACTGTATACATACCAGTCGACCCCCCTATAACACTGTTGATTTTTCCGTTTTATATGAATTCCATGTTGTACGAGTCACTTATATTTTACAAATACGTGAGCCGTTCACAGCCTGGCACACGTATTTGTAAAATCTAAGTGACTCGTACAACATGGAATTCATATAAAACGGAAAAATCAACAGTGTTATAGGGGGGTCGACTATACAAAACTTCAAAAAATTAACTCCAAAATTCTNTTTTTTTTAAATTATATTTAGTAAAATCTCGTATATAATTTATTAAAATTAACCGGTTATTTAAATAATAATCGTATTTAACATAAGAATTTAAATAGGAACTAAAATAATTTGAATAAAACTTTTTTTCATTGGATTAAGTCGAAGCGTGCGAACATTAATTCATAGATTAGATCTTTGACGTCATATACCCTCCTCTTTCAAATCATTATTTTATTGGTTAATTTCGCAGCTACGAGAATCACACGTTGTACCAATGATACGATTGGACGAATTTAAGATTTCACGTGAACAGTAGTTATAGTCAGAGACCGAAATTGGAGCGAAAGGAAAAGGACGTTTAAAATTACTTCATGGTGTTTGAGGGAATTTAAATGGACATGCATGCTAAGGTAACTTCTATACATTTTTTTTTTATTTTAATTTTTTACTCTATAAGGCATATGAGCACAAAAGGAGTCTTTTTACCTCATCCTCATCAGTATCACAATGGGGATGGCTTGCAATGAGATACAGTGTGTTTTTTAATCTTGCAGCACAATTGAACCTATAATTAAATTACGCAAACCAATTTACACGGAAACACGTAATTTACTCGGTACACGTAATTTAGTTAAAATTGTTTGTAAACAATCTGTCGCCATATTATATTAACCCAATTCATTTTGTTAATATTTTTTGTAAATTAATTAAAATAAAATAAAAACATATATAAAAATATTCTAAAAAGAATCGATGGAGTCAGATAATCTATTTTTTTATATTATTATTACCGTACTGTACTAATCTTTAGTACACGGAAAACTACTAGNCACAAAATTATTCTATAAACTTAATTTGTAATGTAGTTCTTTTATCAGTTAATATTATAGAGATTTGACGTATATTGTGTATCATTACAATCACATGCCTTAGATCAAGATCACTCGAATGTCTTTCAAAAATAATTTCACTAAATTTATGAAATTATTTTTGATATTTTTAGGTCTACAAGACTTTGTAAGCTCAGAATAATGGAGATTAATTCAATTTCATACAGCATATTAATGTATATAATCTCCATGTAGCACTACATAGACGATGCTTAACGTATCACTTATGTGATGCTACCATATATGATGTTATATATATATAGACTTATGCTTATTCGTTTGCATACGTGCATACTTGTATTGTACAGTACACATGACTACGTAAGTAAATGCATGTAATTACGTATGAAGTCAGTGGGCGTGCACGTGTATGCATAAAGCTAAATTAAAACAACACTTTCTTTATAATTTAAAGTGTTAATTATTAGTATATAGATTTGGATAAATGATATTTAATTATTTGAAATTTAATTTTAGCACGAATTTCTCTAAATATATCCAAAATTCTCCTTTATTACTTATTTAAAAGACATTTATTACATGAGGATATTACATAATTATATATTAAGTATAAAAATTAATATTACGATATTCTTCTACAGAATTTTTCATAAAATTTCTAGAATAATTGAAATTACGCAATTGAAATAGTGTGACGTAAAATTTACGCTAACGAATAGCATCCGTGAATGGTTACAGACATCAATGTAGATGCATTTTGGAAATAATTCAAATCTCGAGACGCCGTCTACCATCCAAAATAGTTTTGCAAGTTAATGTGACTAAGTTAAGACGAATGTAAGTATTATAAATAAGGATTTAGTCCATTGAATGTAAACAACAGTCTTTAAAAATTATACAAAAAAATTTTTTTATAATAATAATAATAATAATAATACATTATAAAATAATTAATTAAATATAATTACCGTTTTTATATATAATTTAACATTTATTATTATATTTTAATACGTGAACTTCGCTACGAAACGGACTTAGCAACAAATATCTTATCCAGAGAGTAAGAGAGATGGGGGAAAAAAAATGTTTTAAAATTATCTAAAATTCTGATTAATAATAATAAAAAAAAAACTCTTAAATTATTTTATTTATTTACATATTTGTTAATTAAATTATACTNCTCTTAAGTTTTAACCAAATTTTTAACCCGATATTTTATCTATGATGTCAAAAACTTACATCACAAGATTTTTTGGCATTTCACTACAACAGAATACTTAGAATTGTTTGCGAAAATCGACTAATGCCTTAGGCAGCGGATTTTTTTCATCACGCTATCTAACCTTCAAAGTAAAATTTACACAACAGAGAGACCATTCAAGGAAGTACCTTCTATTTATAGACAAGACAGCTCACCTACTATCAGACCTCATAAATCCAGCAGTTTATATCTTATTCATCAATTTAGCTCTAAATTCAATATATATATATATATATATTTTTTTTAAATTATATTTAGTAAAATCTCGTATATAATTTATTAAAATTAACCGGTTATTTAAATAATAATCGTATTTAACATAAGAATTTAAATAGGAACTAAAATAATTTGAATAAAACTTTTTTTCATTGGATTAAGTCGAAGCGTGCGAACATTAATTCATAGATTAGATCTTTGACGTCATATACCCTCCTCTTTCAAATCATTATTTTATTGGTTAATTTCGCAGCTACGAGAATCACACGTTGTACCAATGATACGATTGGACGAATTTAAGATTTCACGTGAACAGTAGTTATAGTCAGAGACCGAAATTGGAGCGAAAGGAAAAGGACGTTTAAAATTACTTCATGGTGTTTGAGGGAATTTAAATGGACATGCATGCTAAGGTAACTTCTATACATTTTTATTTTATTTTAATTTTTTACTCTATACATAATAAAATTTTAAGAATAAAATAAATATAGTTGCAATATTGGCTATGTGTCAAATTTGGATATTTTTTTTCATTTATTTATTTTTGAAGTGGTCCAACAAGTTGTCACTCCTCTCAGTAGGAAATATTCTTATATTAATTTTATAATAGGTGACATTGCACTGGAAATGCATAGGATAAGTGTGCATTACTGTATTATAAATGATGTCATTTTTAATCACACTGTGTGATATTTAAACATCAAATTTATTTTATAAAAATAAATTATTCAGCAAAGTAATTTTTAATTATTATTTAATAAATTTGCAGATATTTTATATATTATACTTTTTTGGTTAGCGCAATATCCTGCAAAATATATTGTAATTAACTCTACGTTTCTGTTTTATTTTCAATTTAAAAGCCTGTAAATCTTGTAAAAATAATTTCTAAATTTTCCTTGTTATAAAATAACATATTTAAATTAATTTAACATTTTTTAATATAATAACAGCTGCAATATTTAACCAATAACTTATTAGAAACTGTACGCTACGCATTCTTTATCCAGAATAGTATTTTGCATTAAATATTGTACACGTAATTTATTATTATTATTTTAATAATAAAATTGATATTTCTAGGTTTATTGCTGACATTAGAAATACCTCAAAACCACAATGCCTATCGATCTAGAGATGTTTTTATCTGCTAGTCCACCTTCCTTTACCCATTCAGCATTTTTGGACTTTCATTATGACGTTTACTATCGAAATGCTAAAAACAAAAGATCCATCCCACAAGTGAAAACACCATTAACAAGATCTTGTATTAGCAATCAAGTTACTTCGGTGAAATCGAAAAAGAAAGTACAGTTTGCTGATGATAAAGGACAAGCTCTGACCATTGTTCACATATTACCCGAATTACCTCCGGAAGGAGCCGATCTTCAAGAGGTAACAAGGGGACTTAAACCACAAGTGGCATCAGATACAACATGGCAACCGGCCTTTGCTCAACCTTCGACCAATTATGCAGATTTTCGCTCCAAACTGGATAGCTGTAACGTTTGTTTAGAGAATGCTGTAGTTCGTGAAGGAGAAGATACAATTACGGGTACCATCAAAGTCAAAAATATATGCTTCGAGAAAGAAGTTTTAGTACGAGTTACGTTCAATCGTTGGATGGAATATTCTGATTATTCGGCATCTTACGTGAATAGTGCATCGCTGATGGATCAGACTTCTGTTGATACTTTTGCTTTCTCTGTTCCCATACCGTCTTCGGCTGAAAAATATGAAGTGATTTCTTTTTGTATCTGCCTGAAAACACCTACAGGTAAATTCTGGGATAATTACGATGGTTCAAACTATCGTATGGTGCTGGTAAGGAGGAAAATAAGAGAACATTCGTGCACCGAAACCCAAAAAAAATTTACCGATCTTGACACTGCTGATTTTGACAGATGGTCAGAGTTTGCTAGTTGGAACAATTTAATAACTATTGGACCTTATTGGTAATTGGTATGAACAAAAATATTCTTGTATATAAATGTAAATATAAACTATAAATACTTGTATATAATGTGTAATTAAAGTAATTAATTCTTATATATTAAAAATATATGGTTAATATCAATAAGATTTTCCGTTATAATCAATGAAATTAGAATATTTAAGTCAAGAATCAGATTTATAAGATATGTAAAGTAGGTCGAACCGGAAATTTTAATTCATTTAATAAAACACAACAATTAGGAATATTTTCAAAAATTAGTTTTATTTTTACTATTGAATTCAATATTCTCATATTATTTAAAATATGTTAGAATTTAATAAACAATTTTATTATTATATACAGTAATTTAATCGACAAATTTCAAAATTCTTACGAACATATTTAAGCGATTTCGAATGCTTTTAGCAGTTACAAGATTTTTCCAAATATTCTTGAAGTTACAAGATATTTTTGCAAATAACTTTAAACTTTACATATATTTCAACAGATGAATTGCTATTTATTTCCTTCATATTTCTTAGATTAAAAAAAGAAAAAAAAAAGCTGTCCTTGTCAAAAACTAGACTAAATTATCTGGCTTCATATTTGACCTAATAAACAATGGTTGAGTTTGAGTTTTCATATTAAATTATTGCATTTTTTTTTAAATCAAAATTATTTTCTTTTTGTTGTTTTTAATATCAAATTATTAATTTAAAAATTTATCAAATGAAAAATAACGAGAAGCATTTTTATCATTTCTTTTATCAGTTTTGTTACGCGAATTTTGATCGATAAAATATATTAAGATAACTTATCGAAAAAACTTAGAAGATACGCAGAATAGTGACAATATCTATTCTCTTATTTATTTTCTTATGTTTTATTTACTTAACGAAAACCTCAAATTTTATAAACAAGATATAATATATTCTGTGAAATATAATATACGCTCTTATATATTTCTAAATTAGCAATTTTTATACTAAATTTCATTAAAAATACACCGAGTTTATATCAAATTTTAAAATATAATATGTAAGCTTATTAAATCTTTTATGGAATTTCCAAATTAAAATTTTTATAAACATTTTTTTAACAATATAAAACAATTTACGCATTTTAATGCTATTATTGACCTATATTAATTTAAAAACTTTGATATTTATCAGATATTTTTTTTTATNTAATATTTATTTACCTTACAAAACTATAATTTAGAAGAATGAAACATATCAAATATGAATTTCGAGATAATAATTAAATCTATTTTTTAATCGGATGTCCTATTAAAACTTATATAAAGACAACTTGAATTTAAATATGGTTCGAATGCCAAAATGTGTTAATGTTACGAAACGTGATCACCTACATTCTTGACTGAATTATCAACAATAATTTCAATTGAGAAATAAGTTTATATTCAGGTTGAACACATGGCACATCACAGTTCGACATACAATACGGTCGATTCGATTTCATTTTTATATACGGTATATACATAACTCTATGAAACAAAATAAAGAAAGAATTCATTTTTATTTTCTTTTGCATTTCAAATAAAACATGTTTTCGAGTGTTTTTATTCAATACATTAAAAACAGTTGAAAGTCTGTTGAAGTATTTACCTAATAATTGTCCTTGACAATGGATTGTCTATTATTACAGGCTACAAGCTAAGTTTATTGTTTTTATATTTATAAAATAATAAACTTAGAACAGTTTTAAAAATTCGAATGTCTTTTTAATTTCTAAATATTATATTTTTCACTTTTTATGGTTTTTTTAACATATAAACTCTCTTCTAAATAATAGTATTCTAGAACCATTTTCATATATAAGAAAATATTTCCGGAATATCGTCATTCAAAAGGTATTTATTCATATTTTCATTATTTTTCAGGGAAATAAAACAAACTAAAATCGAAACTGAACAATCTCTACNTTTCTCGTTAAATTTTCACAAAAATAATTACAGGAATTATTCGATAAATAAATTCAGTTTATTTGCATTTAACGTTCGTGGAACGGGAAAATATCCGATCCATAACGGTACTCGAGGCCGGATTTAGACCTTGTTGAGATCCTAAGAGGCCTTAATAAGTCTAAATCCGGTGGTGAAGAGGAAGACCTTTCATATAACATATAAGAAGTCCTCCGCTTAAACAAGTAATAATAAATTTAAAAGGCCTTAAAAACCTGCAGCTTGTTCAGGTGCGTAACGTCAGCCATACTGAACTAATATTGATAATAATGTTTACGGCGTTAAAAAACAATTTAAACTGTTAACGTAGCATTTTATAAAAGATAATCTAAAAAAAATTTATCTCGCCGTTTCTGATAACAGATTAAAAACATATAAAATCTTACTGTATAATTTATATAATATACTCAAAATTATGATAAAAAAAAACCTTTAAAAAAATATTTTTCTTCTTTAAATAATCTCGTGTAATCTCTTAATATTTGCATTCTCTCTTTAAAAATACATTTAAAAAAAAAAAAGAACAAAAATATATATGTTAATTTTAATAAAACAAACAAGATAAGATAATACTCACATGAATATAAATAATTTCATAATGATGAATTTTATAAATATAAATGCAAAATATTACATCTTTAAAGATAATAAAAATAATAATATTTTGATTTAATTTTCTCATAAAAACTTCATTAAAAATGAATCATGCTCTTTCTTAACAGTCATAAAAATCAAGATTTTAATAATTTCAGGATATTATAATTTTTATTACTCGAACGTAAGGATTATAAAAGCCTAATGATCCATTAATAATATTAATTTTTTATGTTTCTTTTTAAATATTAATATTTTTATTTTCTTATATATCCTATATTGTATATGCCCCAAACAGACTGTAGAGATAATATTATCTTTAAATTATCGAAGGAATTTTTTGATAAGTGTTTCTTAACACCCAAACATTATGAAAGATTCTATTTAATAAGGATATATAATTTTAAATTTTATCATTCGGCAATAAAACTTTTAAGTCTGTGTTTGTTGCCGGTTAAAAGAACAACCACTTGAAGGATAATTTATGACCTCTCGAAAAACATCCGTTTCTGTTTATAGTTAGGGTGAATGATTCGTTATTTTAACATACGAGAAATGTTTTTATTTTTTTTATATATTAAATTATTAAAGTAAAATCGAAAGTTACGTTTATGAACATTTAATTATATCATAGCATATTTTACAAAGTTACACGTGGTATTGTATTCATGAAAAAA